GAAGGTTCATTCTAACCCAGGCCTTCACGGGTCTCTTTCTTTGACATCTTGAACGTGTAAAATAACATTGGATGTGAGTGTTGACTCAGCTCGTAGCTGAGTACAAAATGTGTGTGTTGTCGTTCGTTCCTTTCGCCAAGGAAAAACCCATAATGAACAAGCAACTATATACACTAAACGCCAACAGAAACGTTACCCTCCTGCCTTAGTGACGGTGGTACCTACCTTCAGCTGGCGTTGTGATACGTGGTCTTGGTCTGCCTTCGGTGACCCCAGTCTGACTGAAGCCCTGAATAAGTCTTATAACCGTGATACGGTGGCATCCGAGGGTTTTGGCAACATTATTGTACGTCGACCCATGTGCACTATCCCAATGGCTCTTTTTCTCTCTTCAGGTGTTAATCGTGGCATATTTCTCGTATTTGTGTATCATATCATGTATTCCAGACTCTCTTCATACTCTATAGAATCCTTCCACATATGAAATGGATGCAGATATTGCTTGAATATTGCTGCGTTTTGACGACTGATATTGCTATGTGTACACAGAAATTGGAAAAATGTTACTTTGCAAGCAAAAATGTTAAAAAATAAGTTTAGATTATTCCTAAACACGTTTCCTAAACACGTTTTACTAGTTTTCACCAAAGTAAATCAGCGCAGCAACCTTTCTTTTGAACATCTAAATCACTGTTGTTGGTTTATTTCCGCATGGACGAAAATAGGACAATATAATTCTTTGGAAAAGGATGCATTTCATCAAAATATGAATGCATTTGAGATTTTTATTTCGTGATTTGCATAAGTTGAGCTTTCTGGTAAACTAATACCTTCTGACAAATCTTGGATAGTTTTTTAATCAACCATAAATGTAGGAGGGTAACGTTTCTTTTGGCGTGCAGTGTATTTATTCGGATACTGGTCCCATACTTGCAACCTGATCAGCCACACTTTGCTGTGTGATTAGGTACAGACGTCTGAAGCATTGTCACAATCAGTTGTTCGATTCCAGTTGCCCGTGAAACAAAGAACATGCCGATTTCAGTAAATCAGACTGCAGCATTGTAAAATAACAGGTTGTTTTCTGATTCGGTACAGAATATATTTTAACTTAATATGATAGCCAGGAACCTGCACTACCCGTCCAAACAATCTCTACCCCTCCATCCCCTACCCCGACCTCTCGTGGCATATGTCCATGTATTGACCTGAAGATAGTCAACGGCGCTGATCCGTGACGACATAAAGACAAAATTCAACCAAATGCCTGAAATTCCTGTCAGATACGTTTGAAGGACATTTCTGTGGTTCCAACAGAATTGGATTTCTTATATAACTTGGAACGATGAAGAGAATACCAACTCTGAAAAGAAAACTATTGCAGGAAGAACAGTTGTGCTTAAGTGACCCGACGTTGTGACCCTTACTGTCCATTCTTAGACTATGCAAATACCAACACCGCCACCTCCGCTATGTTGGTATTATATGCTGGTATTAGCTCTCTGCCGCTTGATCAGATTTTTTTTGCAATAGGAATATTTTTTACGTGGGAAGTCCTAATTGTGCTCTCCGTTACGAACTCTTTGGCGTTTGCATAGGCCTCTAAATCGTCAGTTGTTGATTCCAGTATTCAAACTAATGCAAGGTTATCCTCCCTACTGATCAATCAATGATCAGTACTTAAGACCATCTACATAAGTCTGTATATTGCTGACTCCAACCTTGAACACTTGTCATTGATCAGCCTGCATATACTGTGATTTCCGTCCGTTCATTTGATCAACCTGCAACGGATAAACCAAAAATCATGAACTACTTCAGTTTTCATACTTTCCAGGTCAGACATTGACAGATCCGATATTCAGTTAACCATCACATATTTTAACCTTACAACACCTTATGCTTCTTGTAAATCGATCTTCATAAATGAACAGCATAAATTCGGTATATCAAAACACCACCCAAGCGGTTTTAACCGGTATGTACCTGCAAACGTTTTCAGGATTCTCATGAGAAACCTGTTAGGCATGTGACGAGAATGCTGATTACATGAATTATGTGCCAGTAAATTCATCACCTTTCCCGTGTCCCAATGGAGATAAATATTCTCATCCCTGATCTAAAATAATTAAAGTCTTGAATAAAGAAGTTCCGGTGGAACTCACAAACACAAAGGTGGGTTGTTTTCATTTGTTCCTTTCTGTCGATCTCACATAACAAAAGTATGAATAGAATCCAACTGTCCTGTGTTTGCGGTGTAGTGATTGTCAGCACAGGTATATTGTTACCCTAAGAAATAAATCTAGGTTCTATCATTCTCCTTCACTCAGTATAACCTTCCCAGACGCACCCTGTATAAATATTGTAATGCAATATGTTGTCTGCATCATTAAACATACATCTTGTCTCCTATCTGGAGGCGACGGTTGCCATGTGAGGCTGCACGACTTGGAATCTTTTTTTATTGAATTACCAGCATAGTTCAAATACTTTTTAACGATCCTGGGGAGAGATTTTGTTTGCTGCAGATACTCAAGTTATTGACCACGTTACTGAATAACCAATGTTTAGACAACGCTGGTGCCATTAGTCCTGCTACGGCCGACTCCAAACACAACTTTCCATAGCTAGATAGCGACAGATAATTAACACTGGTAAACATTGATTTTGAATAAAATCTACTAATAAATAATTCAGACATACTAACTCTTGAATATGTAACAGTGGAGACACAACGTATTTGGTTCAGAAAGAGTGAGAGAATGAATTGAGTTTTACGCCGATTTTAGCAATATTCCAGCAATATCACGGCGGAGGACACCAGAAATGGGCTTCACACATGTGGGGAATCGAACCCGGGTCATCTGCGTGACGAGCAAGCATTTTAACCACTAGGATACCCCACCGCCCCGGTTCAGAGAGATATTTACGATCCGGCAGCTGAAGATCTGAGCTGAGAGAGGTCAATATCCATGCTGGAATGATCTGTAAAGCTCTTCTTCAGATTTCCGTTTCTGGATGATGCAAGCTTTTGTCTGATATGTTCCAATTTCTTTCGCAATTTGTTTCTTAAAGATGCTTTATATGGGTTTATGTTTGTTATTATTGATAGTGTTTACGATTCTGGTTACAGCAAACCATGTTTTTTATTCGTTCGTCAAGGAATATTAATGTAGCCGATTGTGTATAAGAAAGTGATCGATTCCCCACATGGGTAGAATGTGTGAAGCATATTTCTTTGATCTCCCGCTGTGATATTGCTGGAATATTGCTAAAGGCGGCGTAAAACTAAGCTCACTCACTCAATAAGAATGTGAACTGACAGATATTGATGAATCTATTTGTCCATTTGGTGAACCTTTAAACTTTGTGTTTAATTACTATCTCCACTTCAGTCCTGTTAGGACAAAGCGAGCTCCGACTTTGACAACGCCTGCACCTCATTGCCCTATAGCGCTGTGAACCCAACAGACTGACTGAAAATCGCCTCGATTCACCCTCCACTAGATCTAAAGCCATTTAACATTCGTTTTCACATGCACGAGCTCCACGGCAAAACAGGGTGGTTTCAGAGGATTCCTGCTATTTGCCAAAATCCTTTGAACATGGAGGGACCAAACTTCAGAAGTTTGAGTATCTTTCTAAAAGATTTCTTCATCAGACGAGTAAGAATCCATGTGTATGTCTGCGTTTATTAATTATCGATTTGAATGACCCACAAATTGAGAATAAAACAGTATCTCTGCTCATTACTCACCAATACGGGTCAAGACTGCGACGGTAACGGTGGACGGATAGATAGATGCCAGCAATGGGTAGGGGTACCAGATTCATCGCTATTAGGTTTTATGAAAACATTCTTAGGCTACAACCGGAAGCGCCATGGTTTTGAATCTTTATAATTACGTTGGATGAGATCGCAGTGTTAACGTACACCGGAATGAACCAATGAGTTGTCAACTTTGTACGATTAGGTCGCAGTATTTGCTATAAGTTTACAATTGCTATTGTTCGAATCAACATTTATTGATCTTGATCAGATAGGACTGCTATTCTAGTGCAGGCATTTGGTTAAATTGCCAATATCCAAAGACTTAACACATTTCAAGTCCGGTAAATCATTCAGCAACATTTCGAAATATCGTGTTACTGTCTAAATAAAGCTTGCCGTAGCCTCTAGTGCTAACATTTCTCACTCTGACATGCAACCGCCGTGTTTTGTATAACGGTATCAGACGCTGCGGAGTACAAACCTTGCGCAACGATCTTCAACTAAGCCTGGCGCAATGATATTTAACATGGCTCAGTGTGGAGAAACAATGTTGTTGGCATTCTTTTTACATCCGGAATCACCATGCTGCATCTTTTGTCAGGAAGGGCAGATCGTAGCCAAGGTTGTGTCAAATATTTAGATCTTCTTGACGAGTGAGTGAGTGAGTGATTGAATTAGGTTTTATGCCACCTTTACCAATATTCCAGCAAAACCACGGCAGGGAACACCAGATATTGACTTCACACATTTTGCTCATGTGGGAATCGAACCCGGGTATTTGGCGAGATGAGCGAACGCTTTAACCACTAGGTTTCCCCACCGCCCCTATTCAAGACGACAAAGAGAGAGGGGGTGGAGTGAGAGGGCGAGATTCTTCCATTACTTTAATGGCGAATTCCCAGCTTTGCATACATAGAAAATGTAGTATGATCTTCTTGACTACAGAGAGAGAGAGAGAGGGGGGCAGAGCGAGAGACTTGTATTCCTTTGTTGGCGCCTTTCCAACAATCCCTTATGGAATGTTGTCAGCTGTAAGTAATCACAGCCGCTTAAGTTACCAAAATACAGGACAATGTCAATATCGATAGCTGGATAGAACTGAAACACTATCGATTTTCCCAATGCTTGCTTCTCAATGTGTATGACATATATTTGATGGTTGCATGCTAACTCTCTTGTCATCATTTCATTAGTGGAATTGATTGAATATATGGCGGCGGAGGCTGGCTGTATCTGCGGAAGGTAAAGGGCAGTATCAGGCCGACAATACAGAGATAACGATTTCAAACAAATAACTGAACGTGAGTTTACACATATACAAGAGCCAGCTTTACATGGAGCCAGAGGTGAGACGGTGATTTTCTACATTTATTCATCAATATATTGCCCTGAACAGTCAACTTTATGGGAACCTTGAGATGTGACTTTTATATTCTACTCTTGTTCACGCCGATATAATGTTGTGGACAGTCAAACTTCAACGAACCCAGAGGTGAGACAGTTACATTCTGTACCAGTTCAAGATGTTGAAGACGGCCAGCTCTACAGGAACCCAGAGGTTTGACGGTGATAAACGTCATTGGTCCAGGCAAGAATTATACTGAAGGCAATTTCACAGTTTCTGTCTTTGGAAGATATCTATGGAACGTGGTAACAGCAAATAAATATTTGAGTACGATGGCAGCAAAAATAGTATCAAGTGATGAAATAAAACATGCCTGGACATCCGACAATGATGATACAGATGTTGGAAGCCTATGGGCTGACTTTGCGCATACTACGGGATTTCATGGTGTAAATAAGCTTGTGTCAAGGCGAAACGTAAGGCTACGATGGTGAGTAACCGGTTCCTTGTTTCAGATTGATAAAACCATCAATTATATATTTACCTATAGTGGTTTTCAGTAAACAGAATATGATGTTGTCAATATACTGTACAGGAAGACATGAAACTTGTCATGTTTACCTTCTTAATTTGATTTAAGTTCATGTTTTTAGTTGTATTCCATAAAGGTATCATTTACGTTTATGTGGAAGGTTCCTTCACAATTTCCACTGCTCGAGGTTAAATAATGTACAGACATGTTGCGAAATGCAACTTAATTATACATGTATATAAATATCTGTATATGAAAGTATCTGATATAAATTATCTGTACACTACTTTAATTACTGATTTGTATTATTGCAGTATCACATGCACACTTAACATAACTCATTGAACGTCAGTGTTGTAAGTCACAAGTCACACAGAAATATCCAGTCGAACTTCATCAGCCTTCCTGCAGCATCTGTACCTGTACGGATGAATTCACCTACTGGTGAGATGTTTCTTCTGCATCCAGTTGCGAAGCTAAGAGATTACTAGTACTTCCTATTACTCACCACTACTACTCATTAGTTTTATATATGAAAATATGTTTACACAACAATAAGTTCATTGATACCAAGAAGGATCATCACGCACACAACTTTTCTGCCATAGGCAGATTATTGTTTTTCAAGTATACACCTATGGCTATATACTCAAGCCAAATAGTCACTAGTGGTGCGAGTCCATTTGGGCATAGTGTACCAAACAAAGATGTATATTTGTACCGTAGTCAAGTTGGGATGTAGTTGTACTAGGGCGCAGTCATAATGGGATAGAACCGCTATCATCAGGCACCAGGTTCTAAAACAACCTAGCTTGTCACTGTCGACTATTCTCAGGGCCTCCCCACACGTCACGGTCCACTATTCCCACGGCCTCTACTCTCGTCACTGTGCGGCGGTCGGCTGATAGGCATAATTTCTATGTGTTTGAAACTGTTACGTTATCCAGCATTGTCATCTAATGCTTTAATCGTGTTGATTTGATCTATGCCGTCTCCCACGCATACCCGTTGAAAGTGTCATAATTGATAGCAATTGTACATATATGCATTGTGACATATTGATTGTATTTCGTTTCGCTATTGAACCCGAATGTATCATGTATATTACGAGTGACAATGCGTGTCTCGCTTTCATATACAACCAGTATAAAACCTCATGGCGTGCGTAACGCCAGAATATAAGGTACAGAAGCCCATCCACATGTTATCAGTGTCTTCCACAGCATCGTGACAGTACTCGCATGTTAATGTGTAAAAGTAAGTTTGCGAAACCTATTGTTAGCATTTTGTTTGAATTCTGAAATCTCCAATGTTGGTTTAGTAGTTAGTTTGCTATTCGTGTTCTGCCTTCTCCAGAAAGCACAATGCTGTCTCAGTGTATGGTGTCTCAGTGTATGTCAAGCGTTCTCCAAGCAACATGAAGATAGAAACAGATTTGGGATCTGGGATTCGAATCCCAAATCTGCATATTTTTGTCACATTCGGGATTCGATGAGCAAATTTGAGATTGACTCATTTTAGAACTGAACTCATTTAGAAACAGTATACAACAACACCCGCACCTCAGACAGGTTCATATCCCAAATGGAGTCTGAGTCTGTACAACACCGACAAGCGAGTATTGATTCCAAGACATGAAGATCAAAAGACCACAAGTGAATTGATAGTGGTAGAGACAATATGCTTAAAGAAGTTACCAAGAACGTGCACAAGTCGATTTGATTGACATGCAATCCATGTGTCAAAGTCAATTCAAATGGAATATGCATTATCAGCACCATCCCAGTAAGTTATGTGTGTTGAGACCGTTGACCTCCAAGAAGTCGCGTACCAGTTGGTTGACATCTTGCAGAGTGACAATGGTTCAGAATGTACTGCTGCTGTCATTGAGGAGGTGTCACAGATGTGGCCTAGCACCAAATTCATACATGGTAAACCGCATCACCCCCAATCCTATGGTTCCGTTGAGCCTGCCAACTGTGATGTGAAAGACATGTTAACAGCCTGGATGTCTGACAACAGTACTACTACTTGGTCCATGGGACCCAAGTTTGTTCAGTTCCAGCTACCACAGCGAAATCAAGCAAACACGATTTGCTGCGATCAGATGCGCCAACTGGAATAAATTCCTCCAAGCTCCCAGATGAGGTGATTGCACGCTGAAGACGGAAGAAGATCTCATGAATGACATAATCGCCATGACACTTCCTTCAGACCAGCCAGCACAAGACGCGCCACCAGTTACTGTAGCTGTTCCAGATCCCTGAGCAGACGCAGCCATGACAGATCCAGATCCACTTCTTGTAGCAGATATGCCAGTACCAGATCCACCTGCTGAAGCACCCGTTATAGATCCACCATCTGTAGCCGCCGTTCCAGATCCGCCATCATCAGCAGAACTCCTTGTTGCAAAGAGACGTCAGCAGATCAGTATCCAGAGGAAGAGGGCGTTAGACTCTCAGTTGCAAAATGCCGAGAGAATGGTGAAAAGAAGTAAAGTTGTTCTGTCAGAAGTTCACGTTGGTGACAATGTTACAGTTCCAATCCCATCCATGGACAGAGGTAGAGGGCAATAGTACAGTGGTAAGGCGTCAGCCTATCACGCTGAAGGCCCGGGTTCGATTCCCGGTGGAGGCACCCATGTTCGGGTCCCGAGGTGGGAACATTCACGTAGTATCCTTGGACAAGATACTTAGATCCACATTGTCTCACTTCACCCAGCTGTAAAATGGGTACCCGTGAGGGTGTTCTCGAAATGTGAATGTTTAGTTCATTGCGCTTAACAGGCAGCATGGCTGGATGATCCCCAGACAGTTGAAAGAGTATCGGAAAGTACGACAGTGTCCTATGACCGGGGATAGTAATGTGAGCAGGCAATGTGCCTGGATATGAGCTCCATATAAGCGGACTATTACCGTTACTATTAGAGCTGATCCCATTAATGACAGTGGCATATACACAAATGCTGTCAAATTGGTGTTTTATCTGGAAAATATTCTCGTAATTTCAATTTGAGCCACAGCTCCGTACACCTTAGAGAATATGTCTACTGAAAAACTGGTCTCCTTACGCTTAGCAGTCCAGTTTGGGTCAGCCTGTGGTGGACATGGTTTTGTTAAGTGCAATTGTGCTGGAGTCAAGAGGTGCCAGATAAATAGATGCAAAAATGCTGCAAGGTTGGTGTAAAATGTTATTCAAGGTGCCACTCATCACTGTCTTGTCAAAATAAAAACTGAATTCATGTTCTCCAAACATGTTCATCATACTTTTCCTTATGTACATCTATTATGTTGAATAAAGATATCATTCTAGCACAGAAACGTCTCTAACCTGCTTAATACAAAAGTCTAATTTCACATCCTTTCGGAAGAAATATACCTCAAACTACACACGTAGTGATTTCAGGGAATGTGTCTAAAATTCTAGTACACTTTTCAGTGATTATATATAATCCCTGCAAAGTTCAGTGATTATGTGTACTAAGCAGCAAAAGAAACGTCAGTTTGGAATTTTCCTTCGCAGAAACGGATAACTGTGACCTCATTTAATGTTTTGATTGTATATTTTTGACAACGTCTGTAACTTTACCTGAGCAAAGACATTCATTCCCAAAGTCAGATTGGAACCCAGGAAATGGTCTAAAAAATGCAACATGATTTCGGAGCTAGTACGGTGTTCTTCACCTTTTTCATGCAACTGCAACTGAAACATTCACATTACAACGTCAGCAGGATGCCGCGACTCACGACAGCTCAGAGGAACCAAGCGCTAGGAAGACTTGAAGCTGGCCACACTGCACAATCCGTTGCCAATCACTTCCAGGTCTATGTTCGGGCCACCTACAGGCTGCAGCAACATTTTCGGGCCACCAACCCCACAAATGATTGCCCCCGTACTGGCAGACCAAGGTTGAACACAAGACGACAAGACCGCCATGTTGTGCGACAGCATGTTCAGAATCCCTTCATGCAGGCATCCGAAACAGCACGCCAGAAAGTGGGAACACACGCAAGACCAATCAGTACTGATACAGTACGCCGTTGTCTTAACACTGCGAACTTCCACTGCCATAGACCTTACCTTGGACCTATTCTCGCCCCTCGTCATCGGCGGGAACGTCAACAGTTTGCCCAACAACACCAAAACTGGTGATACAGGCAATGGAGAACTGTTCTGTTCACAGATGAGAGTCGGTACTGCATATCAACTGCAGATGGCAGAACAAATTCGAATCCCGGATGGGGCTCAAAGTACTAGAATTTGTACTTTACGAAGAGTGTGTCCCAAAAATAACATATGTTACATTTGACCACTTTCTAAATGGCATTGTGTAATCATAGCTTTCGGCCGTGGGAGCCGTGCCAATTAACACTTATCAGAGGGGTACACAAAGCCGGCAGTCTAGACTACCAGTTGTCCGACTTCCATTTTTGTGGAAGTCGCGGTAGCTGAGTGGGTTAGGCGGCTGACTTTGTGTGCTGGCGATTAGGTGCCTGTGTCTGAGGGTGTGAGTTCGAATCCCAGATGGGGCTCAACTCAAAAAAAGAAAGTGTAATCCCAAATATAACATATGTTACATTTGACCACTTTCTAAATGGCATTCTGTAATCATAGCTTTCGGCCGTGGGAGCCGTGGGATCCGTGCCAATTACACTTATCAGAGGGGTACACAAAGCCGGCAGAAAGTGTAATCCCAAATATAACATATGTTACTTTATAACATGGCTGACTTTTCCCAAATCGGTTGTTTTCATTAATGTATTTGCACATTTCAATGATATGTTATTGTGCACAGTTTAACATTCATATAAGTAAGATAAAACATCTCTTAAAAATGAAATTTCTATAAATCTTAAGGTGCACACTTCATTAGCTGAAGGACAGATGTTTTACATCATAATTACAACGCTAGTATAAGGTATTCATAGGTGGGTTGAGACAGCAGATGCATTATTCCTCGGTCTGAATAGTGCCTCGGTATCCATTATCGTTGTAGCTAACCATTCTTTGGATAGTGTACATTATCTTGGTTCGCAAGTACCAATCGTAATTTGCAGGTTTCACACCACCTCACTGATGGTGAAATGTAAAAAAAAATCAGATTCGGGATTCAAATCCGATAATAGTGATAATAATGAATACTGACATTGTTCGTCTTTCTTCGATCGTCATCGAGGGTTGACCCCTACATGCAGGGAAGAGCTTCAGGATCGTTCACTATTTTCGAGGGTGCACGGCAACGTCGAGGACAGATACGATTACAGATGAAGGTGCAAAGAGTATAGTTACAAGGAGTGAGTGAGTGAGTTTGGTTTAACGCCGGTTGAAGCAATAATCCTGCAATATCACGGAGGGGGACACCAGAAATGGGCTTCAAACATTGTACCCATGTGGGCAATCGAACCCCGGGACTTCAGCGTGACGAGCGAACGCTGTAACCACTAAGCTACCCCACCGCCCCATAGTTACAAGGACACCGGAGTTCCGAATTCTAAATGTATAAAAGAAATGCATAATAAGAGTTACACTGAATACTGAATGCCGAATGCCGAGTGCCGAATGTGCTGAAGAAAAATACCGAATATGAAAAAAAAATCAGATTTGGGATTCGAATTCCGAATATGAATAAAATATTCAGATTCGGGATTCAAATCCTGAAACCCGAATGTTAAAAAACTCAGATTTGAGGTTCAAATATTGAAAACTGTAGTTTGATTGTTTATGTTTCTAAGTTACCCACGTCTACAACAAGCACCTAGTACATTAGAAGGGGGGATGAAATAATGAATATTGACCTTGTTCGTCTTTGCTCGGTCGTTTTGAGGGTTGACGCCTGCAAGCAAGGAAGAGCTTCTGGACCGTTGACTATCTGCACGGCAGCGTCGAGGATAGATAGGTTTGACAGAAGAAGGTGCAAAGAGTATAGTTACAAGGACGCTGAAGTTCCGAATTCCAAATGTGTTAATACCCGTCCGGGGTAGAATTGGCCTACAGTAACCCATGCTTGTCGTAAGAGGCGACTAGCGGGATCGGGTGGTCAGACTCGCTGACTTGGTTGACACACGTCATCGATTCCCCATTGCGCAGCTCGATGCTAATGCTGTTGATCACTGGGTTGTCTGGTCCAGACTCGATTATTTACAGACCGCCGCCATACAGCTGGCATAATGCTAAGTGCGGCGGAAAACTAAACTCACTCACTCGCTCACCAAATGTTTTAATGAAATGCATCATAAGAGTTGAAACACCAAATACCAAATACGAATGCCGAATGCCGAGTGCTAAATGTGCAAAAGAAAAAAAAACGAAAATGAAAAACAAATCAGATTCGGGATTCGAATCCCAAATGTGAAAAAAAATATTAACATTCGGGAATCGAATCCCAAATTTGAAAAAAAATTCAGGTTTGGTATTCGTTTCTAGTGTCATGTTCTCCGTTCTCCACGGGCCGCACGTCACTCTTCTGAGTGTAGTTACTGTCAGCTAATGATAGATTAATCAAGTTGCATACTGTTAAAGACCCTACATGCACAGAGCAGCATATAATCCCAAGAAGGTTACTATACTGGGACAAGGTTACTATAACATCTTCAATACACGAACACGTTTGCTGCCTACGTATATGATACAACCTGAGTCAAAACAATGCATGGTAAATCAACATACAGCCAGTATATAAATTATAAATCCTTAATGAAGCTAGGAACTAGGAATACCGTTGGACAAGGATGAGGGAGTTTTGTTTCACGACTCGGTAACATAGTGTACTTAATTGCTTGGCTCTTGGTGACTAATTTAATAAAGTTTCTAATGAGTGGAGGACGTGCTGAACGGTTGATATATTGCCGATATATTGTGTGACTTTAAATGTTTGTAATTCACGTTTAACTCACTCCATCTCCCTCATTTCCTTGACAGTATCTGGTGGACCTTTGCAGTGCTGCTGATGTCTGCCTACATGTCCTATAACATATCGCGAGAGTTGATGAACTACTACAGATACCCAGCCATTACCAACACGAAGGTTGAACTCCGAGAAGAGCTCCCCTTTCCATCTGTTACATTCTGCAACCAAAGCCCTTTCAACTTGACTGCTGCCAAAGAAACCGATCCATATCTGGAAAAATATTTCTTTGGAATCAGCTTGCTTGGGAGTTTTTATGGTCCAGTCAACTGGAGTGACCCGGGATACGGTTCAACGTTCTCAGAACGACACAGTCTGGATTGGTGGAAGAAGATATTCATGAAACCAACTGAAATTCTGAATTTATGTATCATGAAAAGTAATTGGTGTATGGAAGCTTTGAAGCCGGTGGTGACCAACATGGGTAACTGTGCAACATTCAACTGGAATGCTTCTGATATTGCTAAAGTGAAAGTCACAGGCTTCAATAATAACCTCATTATATTTGCCAATATCCATCATGAAAAGTATGTGCTTGGTTCACAGATGGCGGCTGGTTTGAGGGTAGGTACACTGAAATATGAAACACCGAAATTTTCTATCATTACATATCATGTGCTTTAGGATAAGATAGCTGAAATCACTAACTTATAAACAAATTGCCTTTTCCTAGGTAATTCTGCACGATCCTCGTATCCACCCAGACATTGCAACGTCGTCGTTTTTGGCAGCTCCGGGTGCATCCACCTACGCAGCCGTGAAAAGATCTACGGTTGGGAATACACTGTTTCTAACTTATATTTATTATATCAAATAACTAAATTGTTACTTCACTGCACTGAGGAATTGTTTGTGATGTAAAAAGACCCTAACTCGGAAATATATGTTTCTTGATTTCCATACAGCGAAAGGAAATTATAAAAGTGCAACACTGACCACATTGTTATGAAATTGCTTTTTTGTTAACAGTTCAAATACTTACCTGCACCATACCAAGCCTTCGAGACCGCATCATGTGTTGACACTTTGTCTCCTACGTTCAACAACACTCTGGAACATCACGACATCTATACGTATGAAACCTGTCTCCAGGAATGCTTTACAAGGTTTGCCTTCAACAAGTGCGGCTGTGTCAGGCCCTCGGACGATGGTGAGCACTGAAATGTCGATTCCAGTTCTGCTATTTATATCATTATTTCCAGACCTCCAGACCTGTGAAGGGTTAGAATATTGATTTTCAGTAACCCAGGCTTGTCGTAAGAGGCGACAAACGGGATCGGGTGGTCAGGCTCGCTGACTTGGTTGACACACGTCATCGGTTCCCAATTGCGCAGATCGATGCTCATGCTGTTGATCACTGGATTGTCTGGTCCAGATTGGATTCTTTACAGACCGCTGCCATATAGCTAGAATATTGCTGATTGCGGAGTAAAACTAAACTCACTCACTCACTCACTCACTCACTCACTCACTCACTACTCCATCTCCATTTGTTAGCTGTACAATAATCTTGTTGACTGTGTGAATTGTTTCTCTAAACGTTCGTCAATGGAATATCACATGAATAAACTTTCATCTGGCACTTACCAATATAATTGCACGTGATGTGAACATGTCAATTGAATTGATGGTGCGACAATGTCAATTTAATTACCACTCCCAGGACCCGAACGTTTAGTGTTGTTCATTAGGACCAGATAAAGAAGTAAAATAGCACCAGGCTAGCTATTCTCGAAACGTTCGTAGCCCTACGAACTTCTTAAGCCCATTCTTGACACAAAGTTCAAAGTTGAGAAATCTTGGGGCTACGACCGTTTCGAGAATAAGGGCCCAGGTATTTACACCGATGTTTATATGCACAGGCATGATGCTACCTGTATCTGTGTTACATGTACATCCGTGGTCTGAGACAGTGGTCTAGTTGGTAGTTTATCAACCTGGATAGTCAAAGGTCGAGGATAATATCATGATGATAATAATAGCGACTATTTTTAAAGCGTCTGTTTTCAAGCACTTGTGCATGCTCAAGACGCTGACCCATGATAACCCAAACTGCCTGTTTGGCGCTAGAAGGTTAAAAGTCATATGACTGATCCTATCGGGGACCCATTCACTACTTGGTGACCAGGGTCAGTTCATGAACAAACTCACTTGGCCAAGGTGACAGCACATGTAACTCCAAGTAGTCAAGCTGCCAACACGATCACCCATCTAGAGACTGTCCGCGAGAAACGTTGCAGATCTTCAACTAGTTTGTGGCCTTGGTTCTGTGCACAAGACTACACACCACCAAAAGGTGTTACCAAAATGTACTTGTTGCCACCCTGTTGGTGCTAGGCAAATTATAAATCAAAAAGGGATGGGCGACTAGAAGTGTATATCATTTCAACCACAGCACCACATTTTGAGTTATAGTGGTACACGCCTCTCAGGTGAATCTGGCTTCAATGGTATAACTGCAGTGACAATAGCTTCAAAGACACCTTTTCTCTCAGATGCAGCCATGTAGATTCAACACCTGCGTACTTTTGAAGAGAAATAGCAATATACTATTGATTATAAACACAAATCAGATAGATTGATAGGCATTTAGAAGTTGGAAACGTAATACAAGACACTTTATATGGATGTGCAACTTCTTTATTATTTACACACGACGTTTCTGGGCTAAGACTTGCCCCTTCACCAGGTGAATGACAGACAGACAGACAGCTGACGAGGGGGCAAGTATTAGCCCACAAACGTCGTATGTAAATAATAAAGAAGTTGCACATCCATATTAGTGTCTTGTATTACAAATCAGAAACTTTATATATATTATATATTGTTGTTTCAGGAAGCTTTGGAGAGATATGTTCTTTCATAGAAGACAACACCTGCTATCGTCCAGCGTATGGTATGAACACTATTCAGATCAACATCTCTCATAATTTAACATCAATTACGTGATTACTTTTCACATTATCATTTAAGATATTTATATTTCACACAATGTTAAGATCTGATGTCAAGATTTCAAGGGGTGTTTCTTCCACTACTTTGCAGATTACATCTCACAAAACCCAGATGTACACCGAGAATGTGGTTGTAAAATCTCATGTTCCCTTGACACTTACGAGGCAAAGGTGTCATCTTCTAAATATCCATCCAACGTCTCAGTACAATACATAATTAATATGGGTTTCGGTGGGAATGAAGCCCAGCTAAGGTGGGTACTATATTTTTATCTTTATCGGGTTCGATATACATGGAAGTATGCACGTATAGACAAACTGAGATCAAGTGATTCATAAATGCATGCTAATGATATAGTCGAAATTGTACAATCAATTGGAAATTTTCTTGTCGGTTATATCCTGAAAGGCAAAAGAGGCTATGCGACCACGACTCATGTTTCCCTCAAACTTGACTTCCGGTGTATAATTAAAAAAGGTTAAAAAAATCCATTGACACTTTAATGTCATTTCCAATATTACGACGTTTGTTTTGCCTTTCAGTATATTTGCATATGCTAATCCTTGTGTGTGCATTGTAGTTTAGCTACAGAGAAGCGTTGCATCTCAGGTTTTATTCTTTAGATGTGATCACTGTTATAAACGTTACGTTTTCTATTTCAGAGACACCTATTTGGAACTCAGAATTTACTATGAAAACCTCATGCTCCAGGTAACAGAACAAATCCCCCAGTACAGTACAGAAACCATCATAGGTATGTGAGCCCTCCTCTTGTCTATTTGATAAATGAAACTTGTTGCAGAGAACTGTTTATATCGGAAATGAAAATACTTTTTTTACATTATCTAGCCATTTGCAACATAGGTTTGCTTTTCAAAGAAACTGCACATAATTCTATGGTCAATGTAAGCCTCAGTGATACATGTAAGCTTGTACTTGCTTGTGCTCACCTGATCTTGACGCTCTGGTAAGCATGAAAATTGTAGTACAGCTTGTATACTGAACAGGATGTCAAAGTTAAACGTGCTCATTGACCACAACCACAGTTTTGTCCAAGGATCATAAATAGCTTGAGGTCAACAGAAGCGGATCCTGGTCTGTTTGTTTGCTAGCTGTTAAACATCGCACTCAGCAATATTGCAGTCATTTTACAAATATCCAGTCTTGACCAACTGTCGGGCGATTGCCAGTATGAACATCTTCACAACTGGGACATCATAAATGTCGGTTAGACTGACCACCAGATCCCGTTACGACAAGCACGGCTTGCTGAATACCATTTTCAATCCGGATCCTCATGGGTACGGATGCATGGTATGGCTATGGCTATGGCTGTGGCTATGGCTATTGCTGTGGCCGTGGCTGTGACTGTGGCTGTGGCAATGTCTATGGCTATAGCTATGGCTATGTTCTTATGCTGTCAACAGAGTTATACATGTATAGCTTGACTGATTGTCTGGTTTAAATGTATGTTTATGTTAAACATTTAATTGATGAGGTCCCCAATCCCTTGATGCCTAAATGAGGAATTGGTTATGTTGCCAGGTAACCTTGGAGGCCATATGGGCATCTGTCTGGGAGCCAGTATCCTGACCCTCACAGAACTCGGAGAGTTCTTCCTCTTCATCTGCTTGTCCATCTTCAAAAGAATTCAGAGTGGTGGAGAGATAAAGCGTGTCAAGCCCATCAACAAATGAAACAGCCTTATGTTTAGAATACATTTTATTGTTCTAGAAAGGAACATGGCTGGCACCTTACAAACACATATCCTGATTGGAGATTGCATAGACCCTTATGACGCCAGGAAAATGTTCGACATTATCTAATCGGTAGTGTCTATTTGGGCTCTAAAAATGAAACAATAATCTTTGTGTTCTGCCATAAGAAATGTGTGATAGTGGTATTATCTATTGTAGAGAAGTGGGTTACTGTATCCAGTTACGTGTTTCATCATAGATTATAAATATTGAGCACTGTATTGCCTCTTCTTCAGCACCATTTTGTAACATTTATAATCACATTGCGTGACGTAATCAGCATTGTACAATGAGGCATAATATCATTATGGCAAGCTGTTTGCCATCAGATTATAATATAATATACCTTCGATCAGATATCATGTACTGTTTTACAAAGTGAATTGCTGTACGATTTTACAAAGTGTATATTTAATAATTTTTGGTTATCCCAGAAATCGTTTCGTACAGAGCTAAATTATGAGATTGATTAATAACTTTAGCAATTCAAAACCATGTACTAATAATACAGATGTATAAACACACACACTGGTTGGTTAATGAAATCGCTTTTTTTACTTGTCACCAGGAGAAAATGGATACCCATGGTATGTCAGTTGAAGGTATGTACTTATTGCTTTTCTAACTGATTTAGTATACAACGTGTGAATGTCTGTTCGTTTGGGGTGCCTCGTTACATCTTCAACTTGCCATGTGTATCGTTACATGTACTCTTTACTGTTTCATTCAACAACACAATTACGCAACCACACCTTTTGTTGGCTGTACTTATGCACTGAGTAGGTTACCTTTAGTGAAGTGTTGGTATGTTACTATGTGAATAAATGAATCCACGTGGTTATAGAGATGTTGTAGATCGTATGTCACCTGATCAACAATGACGGATCTAGATAATGGGAATATTATTCTTGATTCGCAAATAGTGTCTAAGTTAGACAGCATCGCATGTCACCAAGCAACCCATGTAACGCAAACAGCATTCTGTAACATCCTCCTATGTCATACTGGCTCACTGAGACATAACTCAAATACTTATGTTTATATAGTGTAAATAGGCCAAGCTTCTGGTTGAAGCTCTACATATGTATGCAACATGGGATGGATTGTTATATGTATTGTTAAAAAGGCACTTTGCCTTTGCACTCTTTAACGAATATTGCATGATCCCTCAACACGTAGACGGTTTGTGGTTATATGTGTGAAAGAACATGAATGGTCAACCATTACATGTCCTTTTTTTCAAAACAACCTTGTAACCTTGTAGGCAACCCAATGAACAGCTTTCGGTGGACATGGCATATTTTCATTAATGTTCGCTATAGAAAAACTTTACTCAATACCTGCACGGTGCCCTTTCTGCTACACTAGACTGCCTCCGTGGTGTAGTGGCTAGAGCGTCCGCCCGGAGAGGGGAAGGTCGCGGGTTCGATCCCCGACCGCGTCATACCAAAAGACGTTAAAATATGGTACTTGTTGGTCCCTGCCTGGCGCTCGGCATTAATGGGTACAACAAGGACTGGTCGGCTCGGAGTCAGTATAATGTGTCTGAGTGGGGTATTCATGCTTCACTGCGTCATGGTATCTCAGTGGGCTAGCACTATAAAACCAGCCTTAGTCTGAGCTAGTACAAGCAGCCGCACATACACATATACACACGCATGCACGTCGTCATATGAGCGAAATATTCTCAAGCACGACGTAAAACCCAATTTCACCTCACCTCACCTCTGCTACACTATGGTTTAAAATCATGTCCAGCAATGCACTCTTTGTTATCACCAGAGTAATCAGCAAATCCACTGTTATTCACAAATAAGATTTTTCTTAATAACAACATCAACGACAATGACGATGACAGATGAAGAATAGATGAGAAGAATGAGATTACCGTTCGACTGCTTGAGTTACTGTACACGTTGACAGTCAGTACTACGCGATAGTAATCTGTGAACATACTCCAGTGTCAGTATACCGTATCAATACGGGGCATTTTGTTTGTGCTATAAATGGTTTTAATGAACAAAACACAAAACATTTGCTTCATGTAGAGATGTATATCTAGGAAGTTTCCTATGAAGTGTTTCTGTAGAGGAAATGAAGGTTTCAGATGAAACCAAAATAGAATCATCAAGGTTTGAAGGGATATGATAGCACTCACTTTTATATAAACTTTAAACAAAAGCCTGATTTGCATATTTTATTTTATTTTCGAGTCTAACATAACATTTAGCATAACCAATCATTGTATTTCAATAAGCAGCAAATGACTACCTCTGATGGCAACAGCTGCATCAACGTGGGAGCCTTTATTTTCAGACAAGTGGAACTGCGGGTAGAAGGCATTTAGAAATGACGAAGGAACCACATTTCGATGTTTATGTACAACTTATGTACACTTATCGTGATATATTCAAGGGTTTTTATGCGCGTTTCCATAACTCATATTGACACTGTACTCAAAACCAACTCAAACCGCGTTCTTCCACACAATACTATCAATAAAGAACAAAGAGAGAATTTATGTATTTTTGGGGGTATAACTTAGAGCAGCACACTGTGATTTTAATGGCGAGGTCTGCAATTTTCAAAATGAATGATCAGCGCGCTTCCATCACTTGTTAGCTAGACGCTGAAACACCGATTCATTATTATCATGATCAATGGTGCATGCATAGCTTTAATAACAATAACTAAAGGGAGAATCACACATTTGTGCAGTTGATATTCTGGCGACTGAAACACAAGGACCAAGGATACCAGCCTTTGGTGTCTATAGTATACCTTAGTGTGTTCCAGTTTGAAGCATTCACTTCTTTGGAACACAAGGAACTGTGATCAATACTCATATCACTGCGAGTCAGCTTAGTGTGAGTGAGGCCCGAACAGATGAGACCGGGAAAAGAACTGGTAACCCAGAAATAATCAGGACGAAACGGGATGCTTTCTAATAAAGGGGGCTTGTGTAATTCCGTGGGAATTACATGTTAATTTTTGGAACCAATACTAATTGTAATCACTATTGTGTATTAATTCAGGAAAAACATGGTTCCATTTTTCTGTTTGTTATAAGTGTCATTGTTGGGTGATTGATATGAGTTCTCAAAATTGCTTGCAACACCATTTCGAGAAAAACCTGTTTTCATAAACTTATCACAACATAGTCATGTAGCATATCAAAATGCAGCTTATCATGTATGACATAGAGTTTTGGCCTATATTAATGGAAACCATTTATTCTTTTAATGTATTCTCCTATTTCATAATGTATACTACCATGACACACTTATGTACGTAGTAATAAAAGTACCCAAGTAAGGTTAATGTCACTATCATAAAGTCGTGCACAAGTGAAACTCGTGTCTGGGTAATTAAATGACAAATGGCATAAAGCCAAATCTGCAGTCAATACAAACTGAGTGTATTAATACAGGAGTGACAACTTATATCACAGAAAACACATAACTACATATTACAAGTGGGGTATGCAAGTGCAATATATAATGTGCACGAGTATATTTATTTTTCACATTGTTAGGTAAACTGCATAGTCAATCAATCCGTCATTAACATACAAGAACAAAATATGCTGTTGAAATACAAGCTTCGAAATTATTTGTCATACAAACACAAGCATGAATTCTTTTTTTTCTCTTAATTTGGAAACTAGAAGGGCCCTCATAAGAGAACATGCAGAGCAATTTCCTTTCACTATTACATTTTTGAAGTACTACTGTGTATTTATACTTTAATGTACTTTCACCAAACTCTACGCAGATAGCCCTTGTGTCATACCTAACATAACCACCAAGATTCATTCAAATACCATCCATAAATCTTTTAGTTATTATTCATATTCTCCATTTTCTAACATGTACATTAACGTGTACATGTACATTAACATACACTCTTCCCCACGAAAAAAGAAAGAAACAAAACAAAATTTGAAAAAATGAAAGTTGGAACGCAATGTCAAATTAAGCATGTTTTGAGAGTTGGATATTGTTGTTGGTATGGTTTAGAAGAACATGCGTGAGCGAATGCAACCATAAACGATTTTGAATGGTTTTATCGATCATTATTGTCATCATGAGCTTGACTTGTATCGAATACAACCAAACGCCGCAATTATTGCTTTTCGCGTGCAACCTATGACTATAAATGACCCAAAATGCAACTTCATCCAGGACCTTTGCAAATATTGGATGAGAAAATGGGACGTCTCAGCGGTGCCCACCGAAATATTGCGATTGGGCGATTACAAGCTGGCGAATCCAAGAGTGTCGTGGCGAAGACCTTCAGCGTTCATCCCACCACAATACCTCGTTTGTGGGATCGTTTTGTGCATTCCATTTCGACAAATGACCAGCCAAGACCAGGAAGACCGTGAGTCACCACACAGCCCAAGATTGATACATCCGGGTAACCCACCTACGTGACAGCCATCATTCCGCCCGGGACACTGCACTAAAACGGTTTGGAGCCCGGGGAATGTCCGACAAACAGAAACCGTCTCCGAGAGGTAGGTATGCGTGCCAGACGTCCACAAGTTGCCCCCTCTCTGACACGATTACATCAACGTCAGTGAGTCAGGTGGTGTGGCGCGGTGCAGCCATGGGGCCTTTGAGATTAGAGGCACATATGGTTCAGTGATGAATCGCGGTATTCCCCTCAAACAACGTGACGGAAGACAACGTGTCTACAGACCACGCAAAGAACGATTTCCATCCAAATGCATCAGGCAAGTTGACAGATCTGGTGGAGATGGTGTGATGATGTGGGGAGACATCTCATACACCTGCAGATCGGAATTGGTCCTCGTCCAAGGCAACCGTAAGGCCGCGAGATATCGACCAGATTCTCTGTCCTCAAGTGCATCGTCTTGTCGACTGCCAATGGGAGCTGTGCCACCAGGACAACGCCAGACCTCACACAGCACGTGCTACAGTGGTCTACCTGGACAATAACAACATCAGTATCCTCCCCCTGGCCCTCCAGATCCCCGGATCTGAAACCAATTGATTATGTGTGGGATCAGATAGATAAACGTGTACGCCAACGTCGTAATCCGCCATTGAGGCTTTAACAGTAACTGTTGTTAAACATGCTGCAGGAGGAATGTAGGATTCCACAACGAAACATCCAAAACTGATTCAATCTGTGTCAAGGAGGTGCCGTGCAGTTCTAGCAGTAAGAGGTGGCCCTAGAAGGTAGTAAAGTCAACGTCACCTCGTGGACAGCAGTAATGACTATGATGACTATCATACTTGTGAAGTGTGCACGAGATACCAACGTATAGCTCTACATAATTTCAATGCTGTACCGTGTATTTTCGTTGATTTACATAATTGAATAAGACCAAAGTTTTCAATGATATTTTGCTTTTGCGTTTCTTTTTTCATGATATATAATGGTAGTTGTAAAACACCCATCACAAGGTACATTTTGACATACTACATGCCTATGTTGTGATGGTTTTATAAAAGCATGTTTTTCTCACATTGGTGTTGCAGCTCGATTATGGGTACCGATGTTCAGTTACTCCAGAATGACAATTATTATCATCAGAAAAAATGGAACCATGGTTTTTCTGAATGCATATGCAATACTGATCACAATTATCAGTGGTTCCAAAAATTAACATCCACTTCCCTAGGGAAGCATTTTTGCTACATAAGCCCCTGCACTATTCGTACGATTACTTATACTGGCACGTTATTGGGACGTAGGCCTGCAAAGGAACCATGAATAAAGGCTTATGATATTTCTGGAATCATACAACATGCTCTGTTGTTACCAGAGATGTCGTACTATGATTCCATAA